GGCAGGGCCCGGCTTGCCATCTGTCAGCCATTCCCTCGCGAGTCCGACCGGCGCGGCCGCCCGAGGCGTTGTCCCATGACATCGCACGGGCAGTGACGCGATAATGACGGCCGACTTCGTGGTTTGTATCGAGGCGTTTAGGAGTCCGACGCTCAAGAATCTACATGCCTACTCGGTATGGCGCCGGTAGTCTCCTCGTAGCTATGGTATAACTGCCTTTTTCGGAATTCAATGGTTAATTGGTTGCAAATTGCGCTGGAACTGTCATAAGCCTCATCCCTGAATGCGTGATTAACCTTAAACATTGAATATGGCTAGATAAGCACTACATCATTGACATTTTGATCATTGACGAAAGTTTTAAATAAACAGTCATTGTTTACGCACAGTACCGATGAATTTTGCACGTCGACTAACCATTTTGTGAAATGTCGAAGCATTATGACAATCTGACAAAGTGTTTTGCCTGTGACGAACATTGTGCTCAATGAAAAAGAGTTATGCAGAATGGTTAAATGGAGTCCAGCCTGTTTTGCCGACCGTCTAACAGTGATGCACATCGCCGATGGGTTATTCTGAATGACGCTTGTCCAAACTGATGCCGAAATGGTTATGACGATTGGCCATCGAACAACGCAAAAAGGTGTACAGGCAGGTACGGCGGAGGGACGGCGCGTCGGCGCACAGTCCCTCTCCGCTACCGCCGGCTCAGGAGTAAGGATACACACGGTCTGATGCGTGAAGGTGAAATATGTAAATGCAAACAACCAAATTACTGCCATCGCTGGACAAGTGAAGATATCTTACCAAATACAGGCTCATAAGCATGCCGCAAAATTAACTGATATCTATTATACCTATTATAAAACATACGATTATAGATCCTAAGTTCAGCATCGCTATACCGGTGCCTCCTGCTTCAACAAACAGAACTCGCACCCTAACGAGACAGCTCAGAGGAGGGACGAGTCCTGGTCCACTCGGACGCCCGCCGGGCCACAGGTCAGGAGGCCGGTATCCAGTCCATTTGGTGGCCAGCGGCCGACTCCCGCGGGTCGGACTGACATTTCGGATAGGTCACAGCGGCGGACCAGCGCGCTGGACGGCAGTGCAGAGCAGACGGAATGTAGCGGGATATAGATCCGGCAGCAGCGCGGGCGAGGCTGGGGGAAGCAAGTCCAGCGCGCGGACAATGCTGGCGGTGAGGGTGGAGGGTGCTACGTCGACGACTCGTGACGGGCGGGGTGCCGTCGAGGTCTCTCTGAATCTCCGTCCATCCAGTCCGGTCACGAGTAGCGACAGCGGCCAGTACGGCACGCCCTGCCCCGCCCTGGCCAGTGTCCGCTCTCCACGGGCGGCCAACGCCGGGCCTTGGAACGCCAACCTTCAGCGAGTGGCTACCGGTGTTGCGCCGACCGAATCCGGCGCAAAAATGAGCCAATGAAACAGAAACATTTCAGCACACACAGTGAAACAAAGCAACAGAAGCGGTGCTTTAGAAGAATCCGATGATGCCGTGAGAAAAACAGCCATAAAACCACATCCTTGCGCCGTTTTCTTCACGCCCGGCGGCCACAAAGACTTCCAGGCGCTCCGAATCTGAGCCAGACGGTTTTTACTCGGTCCATCGATGCGTCAGACCACCGACGCTGTCTGTCTCGGCACTGGATAAGGCTCTCCGCCCGGCGGACGCCAGCCGCCAGCCGCCAGCCCCGCTGTGTGAATGACGTCACTGACATGTCGTGGAAGGCCGGGCTCACAATACCAGCGGCGTTAACTGCTCGGCCCTCCGGCCCGATCGGTACGCGGAACCGACACGGCCCGGCCGCCAGAGCTTCTGACTCACCCGTCAACCCCGGCCGGGGGGGGGGGGGGCGCCCATTCAATGCGACCCCACCACGACCTCAACAGCGCCACTTGAGGCAGCTCCCTGCGCTTCCGACCCAAGTGCTGTTCGGCCGATCGCCGGCAGGTCGTAGGTAAACACGGTATCAGTTTAAGAGCCATTATCGGCCGGGTGCCTTTGTCGCGCAGTGCCGCGCAGTCGGGCGGCCCTGACCGCGCCTGTCGACGCCGTGATTGTACTCTCCGAGAAACGGGCAGGCGCGCCATCAACGCGGCACACCATCCATTGTGTGCGGCACGGAGACGAGTCGCTGCCTGGATCGAATGGCTTCTCTCGCCACCGTATGGGATATAACACCAACCGCGACAATTCAACAACAGCTACCTAGGTGCCATAGACTTACGACAGACTCGAACCTACCCCCGTTCGTTTCAACATCTCCCAAACCCCCTCAGCCTCAGCTAGTGCTGCTGCTGGTCCGTATGGCCTGTTCGGCCCCGGTTCTCGGTGAGGCAACCCTGCCGACGGCAGCTCTAATCTCGAGAAATCGCCGTCTGCGCCGACAGCAAACGGTCGTCGGGACGGACACAGCCACTCGGGCCGAGCGACCGATCTAGCGACGGGCCGACCACGGCCGTTGTGTCGGAGGATAGGGGCGGGGTCTCCCTGAGAGCTCAAGGGCTCAGAACAGCCCCTGAGCACTGCTCCTCTGTTGGATAAGTGATTTCGAGAGTTGTCCCGACATAACTGAGAACATTAGGATTTATCAGTAGCTCGGCGCTTTTTAATGTGTTTTGATTGCCGCCGATACCTGCCTAGCAGCCTCCACACAACAATATCTCTTCCACCAACATTTCCAGACCGCTCTGTCTTCGAGCACTCAATGCGACCACAGCATCCTTTACCCTTCCCCGAAGGCTGGCCGGTCAGCGGTGACCGCCGGCGGCGGCTGACCAGCCGGAGACCGGGGACGCTCCGGCGCTCGCCGGGAGAGCAGAGCCGGCACTCGCCCGACGACCGGGAGAGGAGAGCAGCAGCGCCGCCGCCGCCGCCGCCGGCGTCGTCGATCGATGACGGCGGCGGCAGCGGCGTCATGAGCGGCTGCCCGCCATCGCCGGTCGGTAATGGTCACCCAGACCGGGTGGCCGGCGGTGATTAGCGCGGCCCGCCGCTGATGCCGGCCGCCGAACGGAGAGACGCCGGGTGGCATCGGGAATAGGGCTCGGCGCCGCGCATAATGGCACGGTAAACAACACAGACAGTCTTACTGGTTAGCACAAGCAATGATTACGCTCTGCATAACAACCGAGGTCTTTTCTATGATCAGCTAGCTGCACATACAAGTGGCGTGCACAAGAGCCAATAACTTACACACCGAAGATGCTGCAACAAAGATATACTGACATAGTAGCACCTCATGTCTTGACGTGATGATGATTATCTATGCCACAATACATTACTGCCGCAGCAACGCTTAACTCCACCTACGCTACCTATCACACCTATCCCAGCTCTCTAACCTTCACCCTGCCAGATCAACGCCCACCCGAGGTCGCGCCCCCTGCTGGAGCCCACACAGCCTTGAGCCGCCGCCGCCGAGCCGAGCCCGTGTGAATCACCGCCCCTCCCTCCACCTGCGTATCGTCGCCATCGACGAGCGTCAGCCGCCGCCGTAAACGGAGCGCGTCGGCACCGACGGCGGTCCAAACACCGGCCGCCGACGATCCGGATTCCGGCGGCACCTCTCCAAAATTCGACGCCAGCTTCCGTCATAGGCGCGGCGCGCGGCCGCCGAGTTCGGACCGGATTCCACGACGGCGTCCCAGCCGGACGCTATTTCCGTCGACGCCACTTCGCATACGCCCGGCGGACCCCATTCTGGAGCGTCGTTTTCGGAAGCGGTGCTGACGTGACCGGCCCGAGAGCCTTGGCTTCGGCTCTGCCCATCGTCACCTGCCCCGGAGCCGCGCCGCTGGGGGTTCCGGCGCCCCGCGTGACGCACCGAGCTGCGTGGCATGGACTACCACGCGCCAGACGGCATACCGTATGTGTATGCGTGGCACGTGTACGCACACGCGGCGACACGCACTGACACGTGCTGACAGACAAACTGACACGGCCCGCTGCTCGAGTTGTCTGTCAGAGTACGTGAATGTGCGTTCCACGCGTGGTTCGGGCAGCTGCTAGGAATGACATCGCTTCTATCCTGAAGACAAGAGCGCAACATGGGGCGCCTGCGACGCACGGCATGATGATGCAAGGTGACACGGCAGATGCATACCAAAGGGCAATTTTAAACGAGTAAAAAATAATCTAAATAAACTGTTTCATGCATACCAATACACTATGCCACATGAATTTGTTTCATGCACGCGTATTTCTTGCAATGAGATGCTTTTGGTAAGTTACTGTTGAATGCTTGCTGAATTTCGATGAAAGTCCTACATTCGAATAGAAAGGTCGCTGCGTTTCCGACCTTTTGATCAGCACCAGCCATGTTCGGGTCACGGATCTCCAGTGGCCGCTTGAGAGCAAAGTGAGCGAAGCGCGCAACTCACCAGTGACCAGCTCAATCGGACCAGATCCAGCTACACAGCACACAATAGCGCCGGCATTGATGGAGCGGCTCCACCCGGCCATTCAGCGACAACCGCCTCACCAATAATAAACAGCGCGGAGCGACGCAGTGCGGCGAGCATCGTTCAGCCGATCAACAATGCCGACCACTTCCCCAAATAGCGGCACAGATACATACAGCCGGCCCAACAGCCCATCAGTCATTGTAGTCGGTCGGCAGTCAACTGGAGCACTTGTTCCTGAATGAGCGCTGCTGGTGACGGGAGCAGGGGCCTCGCAAAATTTGGACACATTGTGTCACAGCTCAAATGCTATAATTTATTGTTGAAGGTGAAGAACAGGTCTCTTCATTTTTTTTTTCGTCCGACATTTGCGCTCAACTCAATCGAGCCGACAATCAGATTGCTAGCATCTTCAAAGTGAACCCCGAAACCACTTCAAATTTAACAACGCACCTCCCGGGTGAAACACGAAAACTTGACGAGCATACAATCCCTCCGTCAACTACGCCAAAAAGAATCTCATCATCCCAGTGACCACTCGTTTCCCTTCCTCCGTCCAGCCCTGGGGCACTCACCTGGACCTTTCTCTCCGAGTTGGTCTTCTTAAGCGGCGGCTTGGGTGGCAGCGGCCGTCCGGCCACGGGCGGGAGCTCGCCGGCACTCAGGGAGGGCGTCGCCGTCAGCTTGTTGTGCGACAGCTTCCGCAGCGGCGTCGGCAGCCATTTACGCCTGCCGGAGGAACCGCGCACGGCGCCGTCAGTGCACGACGCGCCGGTCGCGCCGGCCCGCGACATGACGGGGGTCAGACCAGCAGAGTCCACGTAAGAGCTATCGATACAGTGGGGACTGTTCCTCACTCGCACCCACGATATTCTAGTCCGACAACGCACACATACGGACCCCCACTTCACTGTCAGCACCGCTCGTCTCTGTCTTCACCACAGTGAGCCACCGACCCTGTATGTATGACCGGCCTCGAGCCGATAGTCCCCCCCCCCCGCGGCCGATACGCGGCCTATCGCACCAATGTTCGCTGTCGACACTGCGCCCAATAGGTCAGCGCGGCACGCGGCACCGTATCAGACCGGCGCGCCCGGTCTCGTGACAGACTGACAATCAGACACCGCCGACACGACACGGTACACCTGTCACACGACAGGTGACAGACAATGCAGTTAAACGGAACAGGTAATACGGTTAAACGGCAGTCACCTCGCTTTGTGGTTATTGGAACAGTATACCTACACATCATAAAACCACTCAAACCAGCACTCCTCAACGCATCACAAAGTCACGTCCAGTTACAAAAAAGAAGCAATAGACAAAGCCCCGCTGCAACAAAGGAATTAGGAACAGACAAAATCCCGTCACAATCAAGTCACACACAATAACCTCACATTGATAAGCTTCCCATCACACCACCATATTAGACCACATCCAACCACAAAACATAACCTCTGGGCCCGACACGCCCTACATTCCCCTCCATTCCACTCCCACTCCCATCACACTCTCTCGTCCCATATCAATCCCCTCTAGTCCCCTCTTGTCCCCTCTTCATCCCCTCCCGTCTCGATCCCCGCGCTTATCCGTCGCTCCGCCATCCAACGCCCACCTGTGGCCCTCACCGTCCCCCAGTCTCAGCCGGTCTCGTCATCGATTTTACGCGTCCGCCCTGCAGCCATCCACCTTGCCACTGACCGCGAATTGAGCACCGTCGGCCGCAACAGGTCGGCGGCGGCGGCGACAATCGATACGCGCCCAGTGATTTGCCCGTCGGCGATAAAGAGCGATCGACGCGCACGCCAGGTGTGGGCGGAGCGTGAGTGACGTTAGCGGAATAGCAGCTACTGGTCGTGGGGTAATCTGACAAACGCAGCTGATAGCTAGGAGACTCTTTCGGATGAAGAACATAATTCAATGTCATTAAACAATCTAGCAGCGATACCTATAAGGGACATCTGATAATTCTGATAGGAGAGAATTATCAGACTCATTCTGATGAAGGAGCAGGCATAAGATCACATTATGAACACCATCTTCGTGCATATGAAGGAACATTTCGAAGAATCTTTCTCCTTGGAAGTCGATACAATATACATGGGACAAGTGGCCAGACCGTCACATTACAGAATTATGAGGCAGTCCCTCCACTGAGGCTCAGACTCTCACACCGGCGCCAGGAGGTAATCAAGGTACATACGCGGACGTGACTCCACGCAATCGTCCTCATTACCCGCACCCCGTGGGGCCAATCAGCACAACATTAGACTGAGATGAGCTCCTGACCTGGAGCAAAACGACGCCAGTGAGAGCGGCGCAACTTTCAAGGACATGCCTAAAAATGATCAGCTAGGCAGTTACAACATTAATTAACCGTGTCGATGCGTAGGATAGTGGCACTAACAGGCCTACCTAACAGGCAAGCAAGAGCAAACTGCAAACTGCCATCGTCAAGCGACGAGGGAGTTCATTGGCATATAATCAAAATACCGGGTAGAACATTCCCAACTATGGATGGCGGAGCCTCTGGCTATAAAAGCCCACTTTTTCTAGGTTTTGAATCACACGAACCACACCAAGCCACCGGAAGACCCAGCACCAGACAGACAATAGACCAGGGCAGCAGACAACCTGTGACAGCGTTCTCCCAACTTAGCCTCAATGCCACTGAATTCATTCAAACGTTTGGTGTCCCCCGATTCAGCCACAGACCCTCGATACCCTCCGCTTAGAGCCCAAACCGGACAGGTCACCGGCTCATCAGAATCACAGATGAACCGACCCCAGCAGCGAGGACAACACTGAAAGGCGCTCTCTGGCCGTCACGACCTGACAACAGGACAGTCACGAAACTGACTACATTGCTTCACTCTTGATTTCACATACACGCGACTTCGACGCTTTCAGGCCACGTCACCTATCTAAACACATCAGCTCATCTGTGCCAATATCGCCTATCTAACATCACCCCGTTTTGACCGCACGTGGCAACAGTCCGTCCGTAGTATCTCCGGGGCCCGTCCCCTTATCGGTCTGATCCGTCCCGACGGCGGGGTGCCAAAAAGGTCACCGCCCCTGACCCAAGACCGGTGGCCATGGACGGGTAACAATACATGGGCTGAGAGGATCCACGCCCGCATCAGTAGGACGGTCACGATTTCCCAGAACATGAGTCATAGTCACAGCGTTTTAGCGTGCTCATACGCAGCTGGAAACATTTACCTACCGAGTCGAACTCACTCACATTGCGATCATACGCTACAACGTTTCCCCTCACGCACATACGCATGCATGCAAGTCACAATCGACGTGAAAGTGCGTTTTCCCTGATCCATACCCTATACTAACCAGCTCTCAATCACATTCGTCTCCAAACATGGACACCCACGCACTACTCCGTACACATTCCCACACAATCCGAGACACCCTGCACCCTTGCACTAAATTCCCAGACACCTCTACACTTCCTACATCCCCTACCCACCACTCCACCAAGCCAGACTACACCTCCCTACACCAGACGACACCCTCCTACAGCGGCTTAGTCGAGCGGCCGTCACGAAACCGGCAGCAGGGTAGCGGCGACAGGGACGGACCGCCCTGCCTCCGCCGAGGTCCCAGCCAAATACGGTAGCGCACAGCCGGCCGCAGCCCGGCGGCCGCGGCTCCGGCGCGGAGGCAGGTTATGGTCAGGTACTGGCTACGACGCAGGACGGTGACGCGGCAGCTCGACTAGGCTGGAACGGCGGAGGGCCAGCTTTTTTGTGTTTGGTGTAGTGACGCACATGGCTGGCCCACCAGAGAGACGTGATACTGACCGGGACTTCCCGTATCTCAAGACGAGATAGGAGAGAAAATGGGCTGACTAATGCTCTAGCACAGCATCGAGAGGTTGAGAGGAAAGAATAAATACACAGACGCACCAGCATATATGGGTACATGACAGATGCCAAACATCTCTGACAGAACACATCTACAGATAAACCTACCATATCAAACAGACATATCTCAGACCGACTGACTGACCAGTACACACCCAACAGCAGTACCAGACAGCCCGACGTCCAAGAGTCTCTCCGATAATCAACAGACAGCTCATTTCCTAGAGAGTCGCCCGGCCCGATATGGCCGCTACGACAGGCCTCAAACAGTGGCCGAGCTATGGGCTCGGCCACTGTTCACGATCCGGGACACGATCTGGCCGCTGAGACAGGCCTCAAACAGTGGCCGAGGTACGGGCAAACACACGGACAGGTGGTCGGTAGTGGCGGCGGCGCGTCGTGTTTGCCAACGAGCCGGGGGCGTGCCGCCGACGCCGGCGCCGCGCTCACGGCTGGTCGATGGCCGGCCGGCTAGACCCGCCTCCAGACCCGCCCCCTGTGCACCCTGAGAAGACACCTACACCGAGCATTACCCCAATCTCGGTCATTACTTACACCTCAGTCGGTCCATGACAAAACGCCCACTGGGCAGCACCCTTAGTTCAGACCATGCCCCCTAACACCTTTCCCAACAGTGAGCAGATCACCACGGCACAACGTCTCACAGCGTGACAACAACGTCCCTTTAGGCATTGCTAACTGAAGCACCCGACCACCGTCTCATCGTCACACGTTTAATCGCACACCCAAAGATACGTCACATTTAACCCCGGACGACATGACGCGTCACCGTCTGGCGTGCGCGACCACGTCCCGTAACCGACAACCACTGGCGAAATGAAAACACAAGAACACCACAACAGTTGATCAAACAACAAACAACATATTTTCTACATTATCATGCCTTTTCCCTTTGTCTGCGAGCACCCAGATGCGACCGCAGGCCGTTCGGGGGGGGGGGGGGGCGGCCCCCCAAGGCTCCGGTGTCCCCTGTGACCCAGCCCAGCGCCTGGCTGCCCCGAGGGGCGCGGCTGAGGAAGTCAGCCAGCCGCTCCGTCACTCACCCCGATAGGCCCTTCCGCTTGTTGACTGGCGACGAGGCTTGACTGTCACCGGCAGTATCTGTCAACACAAGGAGAGGGAAGGTCAGCTGGAGTTCAGCGGTCACCGTTAGCGGGGACGAGGGGACACTCACAGGTACCGATAATGATATGACAGTTCAGTAAACACTTAGACAAACAGTACACAGCTGTATTCGCCTTATCCACCACCGGCGATGTTTTACCGTCAGTGACTCGGGGAAGGTGTGGGGATGTAGCGAGGCCTGACACGATTCATCACGACCTGTCACGGTTTGGCCACGGTCCGCTCCGGTCCGACACGGCCTGTCAAAACCTGTCACACCACCGGAGACGGACGGCCGGAGGACCGCCGTCACATCCGCTCAAACTCGCGGCCGAAGGTGGCCTCCAGCCCGCCCACTATCCTTGTCACATTTCCACCAAGGAGTGATCTCAGAAAAGCGTCAGAAGATCGCCCGGTCACAAGATTTTATCCCATGCCACCAGGTGACCTCAAAGGACCTCCTAACTCCACCCCATCCCCGGGTTAGTCCGGAGGACAGGCTACTTCCGGCGCGCCTGTTCGGGGTCACGGCCAACAGAGCAGTGAGAGGGTTCGACCGACCACCACAGCCACACCGGCAGCTGAGAGCCAGCCAACACCAACAGGCTAATAGGGCGCCTGTCGCAGCCGTAACGGCTTCAGACAGCCCGCAACAGCGCCAGACAACGGCAACAGGCTCAGCCAGCTGGGCGAGAGGCACGCGCACGACAGCCGCGGAACAGCTTCGAGGAATAATGGGGAGGGGTCATAGATCCTCATTCAATCGGAAAACAGCTCGGTAGCATCGTGGGTGAATCAGAAACTCGGCGCGTCCCAACGTTTGGTCTGCAAGACGCACGCTAAAACGCGTGCCTGTGCGGCTAGGAGTCACCCGTAAAATCGCACCAGACAGCGCTGAGGTGGACGGTTAGAACTCAGACAAACTGAGTCAGAGATTGTGGAAAGCTGGAACGATCACCGTGAAGGTCGTGCCGTCGACGAAAACGAACACCAAAGAAATCCAGTTCACCCGCCTTGGAATGCGAACCACGCAGTAGTTCAACTCAAATATCATAAAAAAGAAAACATAATAAGACACAATAGGAAAACATGGAACAAAGTAGCGATGAAACGCGTTCAGAGTCATCTAGTTATATCAGAAGTTGAAACCAAGCATAGGTATACGATGCAGTCATTACATATAGGTGCTACCAAATCCTCAAAGAGTACCGCTCAAGGTCGATAGTAGGGGCTGTCGGAAACCGCCTCCTCCCCACACTGGGTGGTGGCCCCTGTCCAAAGATGCACGAGGCGTGAATCGACGCCGGCGGCCGCCTGGTGAGCGTCCAATACGGGTGGCGCAGAGGCCAAGCCGTGCCGCTCAGACGCGGGTGTCAGAGAACAGAAACTGTCAGTCGCGGTCGGTCGTGCAGTCGAGTCCGGGCCCGACGGGAGCATAGTCCGGAAAGTGTTATGTAAACATGCAAGATCCCTTTCGGTGTGCGTGCTCTTTTGGAATGCATGCTTGTCACTTATCTACTTGCGCAGCGGCAAACGTGAAACATTTGTTTCCTCAAAGACCATTGCAACATGAACTATCTCCACATTGCTGTATCATTTCAAGTATGACATAACCGATGTCACACACCTTTGCTACATCAAAGACGGCGGCGCCTGCGGGCGGACATCCCCTTGCTCTCCCTCCTATCTCTCATCTACCTTATGACACCTGCACCTGGCTGGCAGCCTCCGGAGACACGGGGAGACCCACCCGGTCCCGGGCGCGACTCACAGAGTCGGGGAGACCCAAAACGGAGACGTCAGAAGGTTTGACACAGAGATCTCGATACGCCGCCTGTACTCACACAGAAACAGGTCCTATCTGAGACGACAGTCACGCAGGACGGGCGTGAGGAGCCGCGTGGAGGCTGGTGGTTCCCGAGAGGAAGCGAGGGTCGGAGACGGACATCCCCGTCAGTTTCGGCGGCACCTGGTTGTGCAATGTGCATGAGGTGTGCGCGTCGTGTGCTTTGCCTCAGTGTGTGGTCCGTCACTCGTCAGAGCCCCAGAAAAGCGTCGATTAGCCGTGAGCACTAGCAGGGTGTACTGAACGCCATAAAAAACCTACAAAAGCAGCCACGCCCCACACACGTCAACTGAATAGACGACGGCTCACCACCTCTGGTGAAACACACCAAAACGGCGCCTGATCGAGGCCTCCCCTACCGAAGCCTCACACCGCCTCAGAGCGAGAGAGCGCCCTCAAGAGCGGCACAAGAACTATTCAGAGCACCTCTATCAGAGACGCCATGGTAAACAGCTCGGGGCCGGCAAAAACGGCGCCGCGTCTGGCCCGGCCGGCGGTCCTGTGTCGTGTGCCCGTCTGTCCGTGTCAGCTCGGGTCAGATGCGATTACACGGGGTTAGACGAGGTCAGTGGTTATCCGGTCTTATCGGACGGTCAGCTCGGTCGGATAGAGAGCGGCCGTCCGTCCGTGTCTTAGCTGAGCCTCGATTAATCTCACTCACCGGAGAGACGAGAGAACGCCCGTGACCTATTGAAGGTAGGAGCGGGGACGATCGGGAGGGGAAGAGAAAGGGGTGGAAGGAAAGAAATAAAGAAAAGAGACAAATGTAGAGGAGAGAAGAAAGCGAGAAACAGCAATGGACTCACTTCAGACAGACTTCAAAACCACCGACGAGTGCAAACAGCTGCGTGAGCCCCGCCCGACCACCCTCAACCGGTCCATGATCCGCAATCAGAGTAAGATGCCGACCGCACCGCCTCCCATTGCCGGCCGAGACGGCTGGGCCAGATAGATCACTGCCCCGTGGAGAGGGTAGTCGGCGAGAGTGATCACCCAACTGTGCGAGAGAGAGAGAGAGAGAGAGAGAGAGAGAGAGAGAGAGAGAGAGAGAGAGAGGGGGGGGGGGAGGGATGGAGAGGTCTGCCGGCCGGCCTGGAGACAGGAGATGTGGGGTACCCCGACCCGATCCAGCGGGGTAAGGCCGGAGGAGAGGGCCCCGCGGCGGTACAGTCGCTATGGGCTGGTGGACGGATGGAGAGTGGCAGAAAACAGATACCGGAGGACACATCACTGCATTACTGGGTCAGCGTCGACGCATAATGGAGCGTTCGAGTAGGTTCAATAGGCCAGAGCGGAGTATACCAACCAAACCGCTAATACCGGCTGAGGAGAAGCTGTGTTGCTATGTAACGACGAATCACAAACTCTTCTCGGACTACGGCAGATCGACCGGGATTCTGGACGAGCCGGGGCTCCCGTCGCGTCCACACACCTGTTGGCTAGTCACTGATCACTGCATTGATCACTGTCCGAAAGTCACTGATCACTGGGTTGTCACTGGCAGACCGTCATTCACTATTCCATATTCCTTCGTCACAACCCATCACCCTGCATTTTTTCGCTGCAGGACGGTCAGTCACTCAGCACCAGTAGCCTGGACATCGCCATGGCAGTTACCACGCACCAATAACGCACTCGCTGCCTTCTTCGAGCCCCTGATGGGCGTCATACACCACCAACAACAACACCACAAGTAACACCAGTGCTACCACCACAGCAGTGCTACGGCGATGGCGACCACCGGCACCAGCACCATTCTCCGTCTCCAGAGCGCCGTCTGCGGTGGTATTACTAACGAGGTCACCCGGGACCCCCCTCCCCCCCGTCGACTGACGACAGATGCCATCGACGGCACAGGCCGACGACCGTAAACAAGGGGCAGACGACGGGCGGACGGCGCCGACCGCGCCCCTCAGCCGGCCCGGTCGGGAGCAGCGGCTCCAGAAACGCCATGGACGGGTCTATTCGCGGATATTGTTTCCGCTGGAGATCAAACTATTGCCACAGGGTCGAGGCAGTTTCGACCCAGATTCGCCTGTCAATTGCTGCGCTTTAAGTTTGGCCCTTTCTTACACTAATTGTAGGTACGTTCATATGAAATAAGCACGCAAAGGAGCAAAAGCATGGGTCAAAAGATCGATTGATTGATGGGCGAGAGGATTTACCTGAACACCCTCCCATGTTGCAGACTTCAGTGACAGGTAGGTATGTCTCTTCTAGCTAATCTTGATTATCTGCTACGGTTACAAAATATGTGTCCTGTAATTTCATCGTTTTCTCTTACGTCACCGCACACTGTACATTTACTCGATGCCTTTGACAATTTAACTTCTCTGACCGAATTTAACAACCCACTTCGTTTGTCTCTCGTGAGTTATGGCCCCTCGAAACGCTCTGCAGCTTCATAACGCGCTATTTATAACTGAGAGCGGCAGCATCCAGCCATTTCAGCTCAATGCGCACCAGTGTCGTCTTGGGGAAACAAAAATAGCGCAGGAGATTTAACTTCCCCAACTTCTGCAAGCGGCCGTCACCGAAACGCCTTGATCACATGGAGCGGGTTCGTCCCTTTGAGACCAGCAGAGGGCAAAACGGACTACTGATATCAATCGGCATACGCCAATCAAGGCCCAGACTCCCAGAGACCCGGATCACTGATTGAGACTCCGTTTGGCTGCTGCGCATAGGCCATGTTTCAAGAAAAGCTGACCACTAGTCCCAAGCTGAACATCCTGCCCATCAGGTCTCGAGTGCCGTCCCATCAGGTCACCAGTGAGTGCCCTCACCAGACTGATCTGAAGCTGATTGAGCGTCCCAAAGGTCCTGCTGTAGTCCAGTCTGAAAGGATTCAGTGACAATAGTCATCTCTGAATATCCTGTGATGCGCGAGTGAGACAGTCCAGTTTGAGAACACCGAGATCTGAGATCTGAGGGTCATGCACTGCCGCAGTCGGCGGTCGCAGACCATCGATCTGACTGCGGCGAGACGCTGACCCGACCAGTGACCCCAGAGGGGCGACAGGCGACTGTCCTCTGACCTTTCTGTGTGGGGTAAGACAGTGTCAAGACCTGGGGTTTATCCACGATTATTCCATGCTTGGACTAAGTGTGGGATAAAAAGCGTACCAAATGCCACTGATGCTATCGTAAAAAGAATAACAAGCACATATTATTAATAAGTGGACTATGCTATGAAAGCACGCCGGTAATGTGACCACCGCCTCGAAGATTCCGCGCTCGTATGTACTTACAGATACTTTGCATCGTTAAGCCCCATCACCTGCCATGCAGCCTCAATCAGAAGCCACTCAACAGTTATATCCCCCCCCCCCGTTCAGGTCAGCAGATCACTCTGTCATCTGCACAGTTCAAACCAGTCGCCCGTTGACGAACTCCACAAAGTGTCCAATTCCATCAAAGGTCATCTAGAAACGCACGGGCCCGCCGTGGCGGGAAGCGGCGTTCACCACGCGACATTCACTATACGAGACCACACTGGTGATCGCGCACAATATCAGCAATGCTGACGTTAAGGAACGTCGCGTGCTACACCTCGAGAAGATATCTGCGTGACGCGCGATATACGTCGTAATTAGATATCGATTGTAACTTGTCGTAGCGGTAGAGGTAAACGTGAGCGACAGCCACGCCACGCCAGTCGGTAGGTCGGCGCGCGCGGCACGCAAGTTGGGCGCCGCCGATCGTCCGAGCACGCCGCAGCGCCGTAGGAACGCCCGCTACGGCTCAGCACGCCGCGTTACCACCGTTACCTGCTGTGCCAGCAAAACACGGACGGCCTTGAATGCTGGAATGTCACAGCTCCAAGCAAAATAAGACGCGAATAAAATCGGACCGGTTCGCGACTCGGTTCGATTGGGTACGGTGCCGTTCATGGCTCAATGCGACTGGATTGACCTGACCCTTGATTGGCTGTAGCCGCGGCTTTATAGCTGGTCAGGCGCTAACTGAGCAACACCGCTCCGTTTAACGGGGCAATTAATGATCAATTCGGCTGGCGTGGGTGTCCTGTGACCTGAGGGAGCTACCGAGGCCGGCTCGAGCCTCGAATCAGAAGTACGCCACTTCAATAATGATGAATAGATTCAAAACCATTTGGAAACGGTGAACACTTGAATGGTGAACGGCGTAAAATATGAAAAAATGCAAAAACAAAAGAATGTATCGCCAATGGCGGAACTTAGCTTCCCTAGCCACTAGCGCAAGTTCCCTAGTCAAGCAGTCGAAAAACACACCCAAACGACGCTCCGACAATTCAAAGGCGTCGGTTCTCTCAGCCGGCCGGTCCAGCCCATCGGCCGCCCACGTGTTGACCTCCCCCGCTCCCGCCCCGCCCCGCCAGGTGAGGGCTGGGTCACACGCCGGTCACCCCAGGGTGGGGTGACCGGGGGTCACTCACTCACCCACCAGTCGCAGACGGCGGGCGCGTGCCCTCAGCTGGGGTGACCCGGCGGCGGCAGGGGAGCCCGACGGTCTCCGACCAGCGGCAGAGGAGAGGAGCCGTCCCGGCGATCTCCGCCGCGCCGCACCCACTGCCGCGCTGCCGCCGCCGGCCGGCCCAGCTCTGATCAATACAGCCGCCGCCGCTGCCGGCATGGGACCGCCGTACTGGCCGGACGAGCTCCGCCGTAGCGCCGCCCGGCCGCGACACCCGTGACCTGACATGACCTGACCCAACGCGCCTACAGGTGATGCAGGTAAGGCGGTGTTTAGTTTAACTTTATCTAAAACAGTGGGCTCGGTCTTGTCTAGCGAACTTTGCTTCAGCCGAACAATCTGGCGGATCACGTGCTTTCAAATAAATCTGAGGCACCGAACTCCGAAGCACCCCTCACTTCACACAATAAAATCATACGAAAATAATTCCGCCAGCCAGTCTGGCATTCCATAGTTTAGCAGCCTTGGAACCTATCGGAGCAGTTAACAGCTCGGAAGCAAAACAAGGACTCGTTTGCGGTATCGGTAACCATTAGCCGATACGTTATCGTTTCCTTTTCACGGCGGTGAACAAAAGTGCCGCATTCCGATGGTTTTGTCTATAAACACGGACCGCAGCCGCAATCCTAGGCACTTACTCAGCGCTGCTCTGGTCAGTACCGCAAACAGGCTGGTATTCCGCACCGGCGCACCAAAAATTTTCCCTTTCATATTGACCAGCTATACACCATAGCTTAGGCCAATATTGAGCAAACCTTTGAACAACTCGCATTGTGGAGCGACCCTGAGAAACAAAAAATTAACCATAAAGCGATACGAAGCAGAGCACTATGTTGAGCAGTTTCGTAAGGCACTTCAGATAGGAAAGAATGGATACTGAACTGGTGCTGAACGGTGCCGGACTAGATGGGACAGAGATATCGTTCTGCGTCCCATGTGTAGCGTTTGTTGAGCGCTACACACGATGTTTGTTTGCTTACACCAAATGCACCAAAAGATCCTAATCGCCAACATAACAGCAATAGGTCGCGGCCTTTGTCTGAATCCCCGGGTCAGAGCAGCCACCACCACCACCACCATGTCGTCCAAGGAGTCCCGCACGCGCACACCTGTGAATATTCATCCCCCGTATAGGAGCGTCTCCCGCCCGTATCGTGTCAGCGGAGACGCGGGTCGACATGAAGAAATCGAAGGTCGGGTGTCATTCGTCGGCTCAGTCATCGCCATCATCGGCAAAAGTCAGCACACACATTCATCATAAACTGATAAATGGGTGTGCTAATAATGAGCGCATTACGATTCAAGCACACACAGAATTGGAGCTACTTAGTTGCAGCATGAAGGAACCCGATAAAAATAACCCGGTGAGCCTAGATCGAAGATAAGTACCTCTTTCAATTTGCATAGCCATCGATTCCAATCAGGCCCAGCGGGATAAAATGGACGAACCTGAGCTACGAATATATTTTTTTCTTAAAGAATAGAGCTGCTCCGATTTTTTTCTACTCATTTTTACGGACGACTTTCAGTTCACGGCACTAATGATGAATTGAATCCAGACAGGGATCGTCGACCCAGCCTACGAAAACTATGGAATCACCATTTTATCGTAAGAATAACATGATCCACCACCGTACAGCAATGGAATAGAACTCGGCGGCGCCAGCACAGACTACATTGGAACGGTCATTACACAAACTACAGGATAATCGAGCAAAGTTGGTGAGAAAGTGCCCACAGAGCCGCGCATAATCAAACGCGGCAGTTCTTTTTAAGAATCGAGAATAAAATACTTCCACTGTAACGAAAAAGGCTAAATATTGGGATACACTATCGGCTATTGCTAAACATGTAACCATCTAAAGTTAGTGAAAATAAGCACTTAACATAGATATCTACCGAATCGAGACTATGATGGCTTTTACCACGTATAGTTATAAACCAACCGTCATTTGGCTAACAAGAAAACCAGCGGAAATTCGACACAATTCAAACTAAACGAATTAACAATTCAGACAATTTGATTTACAACGTCACTCGTATAAAATACAGCCTCAATAAAAACGGGTACCATCTGATTGTCCATAAAATGTCCACCAGGGGCCAACCATGAGCCATGAACCACTGATTGTTTACTGAGTGGCTGCAACAACAGAAAGCCAGTAGAGAGTCAGTTGGGACAAGGGAATTATACCTACCTAATAGCTACCAGCTATCAGTACCAAACTCCTCTAACGAAAGAGGAATCCGTATCAGTCCTTCAGCCAGCGATGTAAAACGCCTTCAAACATTTTACGGTGACACAGCATGACACCAAGGCACAACGAGTCCACTGGCGGGGAAAATTTCAAGGAAGCGACCACAACAGTTCCAAGAAGTTCATGCCGTTTTGGGGTGGCGGCGGCTCTAAGCGGCGTCACTCGTCCTGCGACCATTCCTCAGCTTTGAGACAGTTGTGCGAAACAGCGCGGCCGTGAAACACATCACCAGATTTGTTCCACGCCATTGGAGTGGCGAGCACGGAGAGCTGCTCTTGTAACTGCGCCCAAACGAGGCTTTATACAGAACGACACACCGATCCCGCACCGATAGCTTACTCCGGTATTGGCCAGTCCTGCCATGACATGCACTGCCTGTCACGCAAGGCTACAGCGGCCCTGGTGTCCAGCACCGCACCCAGAGCACGCCTAATACCCGAAATCCCCGAAAAACAGATCGCGAAAAGAGAGGTGGACTGACCCTCGCGACAATGTCAGCGGGGGGTGGCACGCGGCCCGGGGGGTCGACCCAGGCACTCTGCGTGCTCACCACCCATTGCGCCGATACTGGCAGCGGTCGATACCACACGGCCGAGTCGCACGCGCGAGGTCGTCCTCAGGCCGTCGACTTGGTGGCGAGAGCAACAGGCGGCCGGTCGAGACGGCTGGAGATAAGCGCGACGGCAGCGCCACCTACACGAAATTACCTAGGATCTCCAGCGCCGCCTAGCGACCATACCGAACCAACTGAGCACCGAGCTGAGGGTAACCGGACAAAAGATCGTAAAGCAGAAGATCGTATGGCAGAAGATCGTAGGCAGTTGATCGTATGCAAAATATCGTAATGGATAAAGATCGTGCGACATAATGCTCGTATGGACAAAAGATCGTATTCGCTAAAGATCGTCAAGGAAAATGATCGTATGCCAAAAAGTCGTAATGGATAAAGATCGTACGACATAATGATCGTATGGACAAAAGATGGTATTCGCTAAAGATCGTCAAGGAAAATGATCGTATGCCAAAAAGTCGTAATGGATAAAGATCGTACGACATAATGCTCGTATGGACAAAAGATCGTATTCGCTAAAGATCGTCAATGAAAATGATCGTACGCCAAATGATCGTATGAGATAAAGATCGTACAGTCAAAATATGGTATTCACATGGTGCAGCCCAACTCCAGCGCATACAAAGCTTATCAATTTCTGTGTTCGCGTAGTAAGTGGCCGTCGTAAGCTCGACCATACATTGATGTTATTTCAAAGCTTAGATGGCTCAATGACACCTAAAAGCAACGCGTTGTATATGTGCCGAATAAATGAATGTATTTACTGCCGTTTTCATGTACCTATTTGAAGTGAATACAACTAAACCCATGTTCCCCCCCCCCCCACCCCCACCCCCCACCGCCTGGAAGGTTGAAATGTTGCTTAAGCGGCTGAAGTAAACGGCGTTAAAAATACTTTTTCCTTCGCACTGGTACATTTTCATATTGAATCGTCATCGCTTTACGAGTCATCAACAGATGTTTATTGCGTTATCACTATCGAAGTCGCAATTCTCCTAGTTATAGGATCCTAGTTTCAATCCAATCCTAGTTATAGGAGTCATTGTTATCGAAGGCCGGTTAGAGATGTCAATTGTCCATCATTGGTTCGAAATCGCCCCAGTAATTACCGAGTTACTGAAATGGGAACAAATTTGGCACCTCTTCTTTTTGTATTTTGCACGTGCATTGGGGGTCACTCACATAGATCAAGGGTATCCGACCTTTGGTAGAAGGGATGCAGCTACCCTATAAAAATTACCGCAAGACAATCGCTCAAGCCGCTGCTGAGATATGGGCCTCTCAAAATCATTACTTTTGCAAAACTGCTTGAACACCCTTGACTTATCACGTGGCACGTGCCACGACGGCCACTGAGATGTATCAAAAGTAGTCAATTACGGGGAAGAAGGGAGATGGGGCTACCCAGCAAAAAAGACCGCAGGCCAATCGGTTCAGCGGTTGCTGAGATATAAGCCTCTCAAAAGCGTTACAGGCCGGGCCGGGCCGGGCCGCTCATGCTGAGATTTTCCCGTTATATTCACCAGTAAAACGCCCTTTGGGCGAAGAACGAGCGAGGGAGATAGTGAGCCCTGCACGTGCGGAAGGGCGAGAGGGTACTTCCAACGGGCTTGTGCAAAGCACCCTTCTAACCGGTCGCTAGCGGTGTGGCAAATTTGAACGCAATCGGCCCAGCCGTTCCTGAGATCTGGAAGCGGCATTCTGCACGTGCGCACGTGCAAACGGGGTCCAAAATGACTTTTGCACGGCACCCTACCAGGGTTGTGCTTGACTCATGAGTCGAGTCAGAAATTTGACTCAACTCTGACTCAAATGAGTCAGATTTGAGTCGAGTCGGATAAAATGTTGAACTGTTGAGTTGAGTCGGAGTTGAGTCGGACAAAAACATTAAGGCGTTGAGTTGAGTCAGAGTTGAGTCGTAAAATAATTTTGACATCGAGTTGAGTCAAACAATGAGTCAGCTGACTCAACTTTCTAGAAACAAGCTTTTCATCCCCACACCCCGCTTAACAACTTTGCCCTGGCCCTGCTGCCGGATTTTTTTTTCACCCCCGCCCCGCTCAACAACTTTTTTATCTGAGTCAATTTTGAGTCAACTTACTTGACTCAACAAAAAATTTGAGTCAAGTTTGAGTCGACTCATATTTGAATTGAGCCGCTTGAGTCATGAGTCGAGTCAAGGGAAAAAATCAGCTCCTTGTTTGAGTCAGAGTTGAGTCAGGGCTTTCTGAAGTTGAATGATGAGTC